TCATCTGCTCGCATTGAAGGACACTGGCTTTTATACAAGGTCATTACTGTCTCCAATTACAAAGTCTGTGACAGCCAACACTTGCTTTGTGAGCACCAGAAGCAGAAATTCTTCTCAGGTATCAGCAATAGAAAGGGCTAGGCATCTCCTAAACAACTCACCTGTATTTCTCTTACTGCTAGTGTATATTCTGTAACTAACTCTTTTTCTCTCTCTGCTTTGTGAGCTAGGACATTTGAAATCACATGAATGAATCTTGCTTCCATGAGCAGTGAACTAGCCCTCTATAACTTCATATTTTTTCCTACTTAAAATCTCCCTTTTCTTGTTTTCCTCAACTACTGATTCCTGCATCTTGCATTTCTTGCATTTTTGGAAGTTACATCAAACTTTCTGTGGGCTGAGGCAATATATAAATAAAATGTAGAGAAAACACAGTTGAGTAAACATCAAAATGTGAACCTCTAAATTTGCCATTCCACATTTCTCTATATATGTCATAAAGTGACATTAAAATAAGAATATAGAAAAATGAATGATGTCTTGTCTACTATGAGGGGCAGAAAAAGGAATTATGTGGTCCTGCTGGTAAACCTGCTGCCAAAATAATCTTTCTCAAACTCTGATCTGACTCTGTTGCTCCACATTTTAAAAGCCTTCAGGGATCAGAGGATGCAGTGGCAGAATCATGGCCCCCAAAGATGCTCATCTCCTCATCCCCAGAACTTAATATCCTGCGTGACATGGCAAAGGGGGATTCAAGTGACAGATAAATTAATGTTACTAATCAGCTGAACTTAAAATAGGAAAACTATCCTGCATTATTTTGGTGGCCCACTGTACTCTTAAGGGTCCTTAGAAGCTGAAGAGGGAATCAGAGAGAGGCAATGTGAAAAGGACTCAACCCAAAGTTGCTGGCATTGAAGAAGAAGGAGGGGGCCCCCTGCTGAGGAAGTCAGCAGCCTCTAGAAGCTGGATAGGGCAAGAAAAGACATTCTCCCCTCCAGTCTCCAGAAGGAACACAGCCCTGCCAACACCTTGATCTTCACCTCAGGAAACCCATCTCAGACTTCTGACATCCAGAATGGTAGATCATACAACTGTGTTGCTTAAGCCACTAAACTGTGGTAATTGGTTAGATCAGTCATAGAAAACTAGTACATGAGATAATGAATGAAGGGTAGAAATGCACCCCGGGCTTACTGTAACCTGCCTAACTTTCCCATCTCATCTCCAGCCATTCCCCCATGTCTGATCCCCTTGCTACCCCACTGTACTCCATCCTGTCCCATTCAATGCCCACTGGACCATTAGGCTTGCCATGCCTGGATTTTCCTCTCCACCCTTATTCTAATCTGTTTACCTGCTAATTACCTATTCATCAGTCAAGGCCCAGCTCAATGGTCACCTCCACCTTGGAGCCCTCTGATTTTTTTCCCGTTTCACCCACTGCTCCAGGCTATGCAGAAACAGCCCCTTGCTGAGAGCACCCAAGTGTTATATTGTTCTATCGGCATTATGGGTTTTTCTGTAGCCCTCCCCGGAACCAACGCTTTGAAGGCAAAAACAGTGTCTTCATCCCCTTTGTTTTCCCAGTGCCTGGCTCTTTCTAGATTCCTTATGAATACTGCCCTAATAGTACAGAATGGAATTGAACAAGAACACACCACAGTACCCACATTGGTAGATCTTCCACCATCTGTAAAAATTGTTTCAACAAATTGGAGGCAGCACGGGGTCAGGAGGCTGGCCCTGCCACCAGGTCACCTGGGCTCCCTCCGGCTCTGCCACTGTCAGCTGTGGGCAAGTTCCTGGATGTCTCTGTGCCTTTGTTACCTGCCTTATAAACCCAGGGGTGGCAGGAAGGAAGCGCCTATGTTTCAGAGCTTCCAGAATAAAATGCCAGGATTAAGCACTCAACAAATTCTATGTATTATTATTTATTACCTACTAAAAAAAGTCCCTTTTTACCAAAGTCCAAAAATGACACATTCCAGCTTTTGCCACCCACAGAGAGAAATGCTTTTGCTACCATAAAGACCCACCTGCCCTATAATTTGCAGAAGCTCCTCTAACCTTTTTAGATCTTCTCCCCTCCCAACACATCTTCCAGCCTTCAACACCTTGTCATGCTACACACTTGGAGAGTCCTGGAATTCTAAGTTCATGGAGGCAGAGAGCAGCCAACACATTGCTTCAAAATTAAGAAGCTTGAAGGGCAAACTGGGGCCACGACTAAGCTCACAGACAAATGACCAAGGAAATATGCTAAAATACAGATTCTGAGCTCCTCCACCAACACCCAGAGATTCTGATTCCAAGGAGTGGGGCAAGGCCCAGGAATGAGCATTTTCAACAAGCTTCCCACGAGATTCTGGTGTGACGTGCATCCACGGAGCACATGTAGAGAAACACTGACCCGTGATCCTGAAATCCTTTCTTGATGGCTATCTTAATGGAATTCATTCCAGGAACCGTCATTGCCAAGGAATCCTGACCCCCTCCTGAAATTCATAGAAGACAGCAGGGCACCTGCCCGCCTGCATCTGCTACCCTTCTTCTGAAACAGTGGCTATACTTGGCCTTTGGCACTGAGCCCTCCAACACAGGGTGTACTGGTGGTGGGATCACCAGCCAAAGCCCCCGGCCTTTCTGCTCAGCCAGCTGGCATTGCTTTCTTCCAGGCTGGTGCCCTGCAGAGGCCACCATTTCCTCCTGCTCCCAGCTGGGCAGGGCACCCCTTCTGAGTCCAGGGTTTTCAGCTTTCCTTCCCTCTATGTGCTGCCCCACCCCTTCCCAGCAAATTCCTTTATTTTATGCCAGCTGATTATCAGTTTCTGTTGCTTGCAAACACCTCAACCAGTGCAATGCAGGTCCTGTGACCTGGTCCCCAGAGGAGGCACCATGGGCAGGAGCCTGACACATGTTTGCCAAGTAAGGGCTTCCCAGGGACGGCTGCCTCCAAAACAGGTGTTAAAAAAACAACTGTGTCCTGTTCTAGGTTGCCACAATAACAGCTATAAATATTCAAGCTGCTTTTGGATGATTTAACATGAAAGAGCAGCCCTCGAAGGCAATGACTTCCCTCTTGTGAGCAGCATTTTAAGAGGATAAAAATCACCCAGAGAGCCAGAGTGACAACGGGTGGCAATAAGAGAATTGTGGAAAAAAAATAAAAAGCAGATTGTAATTCTTGTGGTGCCTTGAGCCGAGCTTATCAAGGCTGCAGGAATGTTGGAAACCCAAGAACCTTTCCCAGGTTCAGATTCCATGCTGAGCAGGTCGGTGCCACTTGGTGACGGTAGGAGGTGACACAAGAAGAAGATGCCCAGGAGGTAGACCCCAGTAGGAACAGTCCCTGCCCATGGGAACAAGGGTGGGCTTTGGGAACTCTATGAGCATAAGGAGAGAAGGAGTCCAGCCTTCTCAGTGTCACCCACAGAAACTCAGCAAGTCTGATGGGGCAGGAGGTGGGCTCTCTTGGACCAAGTAGGGGGATTTCATTCCACAGACAGATCCTTCCTGAATGCCTGCTTTCCACCAGATGCTGTGCTGGAACCTGGGAATACAGCTGGGAAGACAAAAAATGACACCCGTTTGCCAATTAGGATGGCTATCATTTTGTTTTTATTAGAAAAGAAAATAACAAGTGTTGGCAAGGACATGAAGAAACTGGAACCCTCACACATTGCTGGTAGGAATGTAAAATGGTGCCGCTGCCATGAAAAACATTTTGGCAGCTCCTTGACAAGTTAAACATAGAAAGAATTACCATGGGACCCTGCAGCTCAATTTCCAGATATACACCCGAAAGAATTGAAAACAGGTATGCAGATAAACACATGTACATGATGTTGATAGCAGTATTATTCACAAGAGTCAGCCTAGATGCCCATCAACAGAAGAATAGATAAATAAAATATGGCACAGCCATATCGTGGGATATTCTTTGGCCAGAGAAAAGAATAAAGTCCTGACCCAGGCTGCACCATGGATGAAGCTTCATAACAAGCTAAGTGGAAGAAGCCAGATACCAAAAACCTCATCTTGTCTGATTCCATTTATATGTAATATTCATAATAGGCAAACCCATAGAGACAGGAAGTAAGTTGGTATTGCCAGGGGCTGGGGAAAAGACAATGGGGGTTGGGGAGGGTGACTGCTAAGAAGTACAGGGTTTTGCTGTGGGTGCTGAGAATGTTCTGCAATTAGATAGAGGTGATGATTAATAACAGTGTGAATGTGCTAAGTGCCACTGAGCTGCACACTTTTAAATGGTTAAGTGGTAACATTTATGTTATGTGTATTTTACCACAATAAGAAAAAATGGCTGGGCATGGTGGCTCGTGCTGTAATCCCAGCACTTTGGGAGGCCAAGGCGGGTGGATCACTTGAGGCTAGGAGTTCAAGACCAGCCTGGCCAACATGGTGAAACCCTGTCTCTGCAAAAGATAGAAAAATTAGCTGGACGTGGTGGTGCCTGCCTGTAATCCCAGCTACCCAGGAAGCTGAGGCATGAGAATTTCTTGAACCCAGGAGGTGGAAATTGCTGTGAGTGGAGATCGCGCCCCTGCACTCCAGCCTGGGTAAAAGAGCGAGACTCTGTCTCAAAACAAACAAACAAACAAAATACAGAAAAGAAGAAAAAAGGACCTCTCCTGGCAAGAAGCTTACAATTTAAAGAGAAAAACAAAAAAGGAGCCAACCAAGATGATCTCTGTGTTAAAGGCATCAGCAGGGAAGACCAGATACCCCATGCCAACAGAAAAGGGATTCATAGATTGAATATGGGAGGGTGTCATCCAAGACTTCTTGGAGGCAGTGGTATCAAAAATGGAAAGGAAATGTTGGAGTTAACCAGACTGGGACATGGAAGTGCAGGTAGGAGGTGTGGAAAAGGCTGTGGAGGGATGAGGTGGGGAGACTTTGGCAGGTATAGAGGCCCAGGGGCCCGAGAGCCTCAGCATCTTCCAGGAGATTTGGAGGCTATAGAGCGTGGGATGGCGTCTGCCAAGGAGCAAGGTCCCTGGTGTGCTGGGACCAAGCAGAGCACAGTGCTGGGTGCAAACACCTTCTGGACAAGAGGTCTGTCCATTCTCACTGGCGGTCCGGTCTCAGCTGCCCTTGGAACAGAGGAGAACTGTCTGAGATGGGTGTGCAGAAGCCAGGAGGACATTCTCATCTTCCCAGTACCTCTGCTCTAGTTTTTCCAGCCACGCCCTTGTCTTAGGGAATAAAGGGTAGAAACAGGAAGAGGGGAGACCTCTCAAAGGAACAAATGACACAGGGACTCAAATCTTGATGGAATGCCACTGACTCATTCAGATATAATCTCTACAGGTAGGGAAACTGAGGCTTGGGGCTGTTAAAGATTTCCTCAGAGTTATGCGGGTCATGAGTGGTGGATCAGGGACTCAACCCCAGAAAGCCTGAGCTCAGCCCCATGTGCCCAGCACACAGGCCCAGCTGGGTGGGGGTTGGGGGGAGGACAAGAGAAAAGGAGGACGAAGTAGGCACTTTCCCTTGACCCCAGCCCTCTAGAAGGTAACCCTGGTGCACATGAAGGCTTTGCCTCTCCTCCAACACTTCAGGCTCCCCGAAAGGTCAATGTGCATCTGTCTTGCAGGGCCTGGCCCTAGAGGCTGCCGTTTCCCCTCTGGGGCTTCCCTTCTCTGAGCTCTCTGCCAGGTCCAGCCCCTTGTGTGTCCTGGCAGGCCTGTCTCTTCACACAGGGGCTCTGGAGAGACAGAGCAAAGGGCCTTGCTTCTGAGGTAAGACAGGAATTTCCCAGGGTCCAGGAAACTTCCTGCTGCCCTCAGCAGCCTTTGCTGCTCTCGGGAGCTCTGAGACGCATTATGAGCTGCTGTTCCAGGGTATTCGGATCCACGTGGCCTCAAAGCATTAACAGAGCTTCCTAAGGTCACAGGAACTTCCGCTTTCCTTCCAGGGCAGGTCCTGACCTCCAGTGCTTCCCAACAGAGATGCTCTTTGCACAGGGAGGATGAGATGTCTTTAGAAAATTTGAGATTATTATGAATCTACAGAGGCTTCAATTGAGTTAAAATAAAGAAAGCAGCAATAATGCTGTAATTATTTAATTAGGGAAAGAAATGAAAGATAAGAACCTTTATCTAAGACTTCAAAACACAAGTGAGAAATTTCACCCTGAATACTAGGTAACTTAGATCTCCATCCTTGAGCCAGAGGCTCCAGTTGCTCTGAATTGCTTGCTGCTCCCAAAACGAGCTTGCCTCTGTGCCTGGCACACGCTTTGAACCCTTCTCTTGTTCTCCATCTCCTCTACCTGCCACCCCCCAGTGCAGCTGGTGAAATTCTACTCAAATACTAAGACCCAGCTCACATGGCTTTCCTCCAGGAAGCCGGCCTTGCTTTCTCTGGCTCAACATGTGGCTCCCTCCTGAAGCATGAGCACATCCTGTTACAGCGTTTACTGTGCTGTCTTGTTGGCACTTACCTGTCGGGCTCTTGGTGAGAGAAGGCCCTTTTGAGATAAAGATAGACTCCTCTTTGTTTTCCCCATGCCCAGGCACTGCCCAGCACACAGGAAACACCCCACCCATAATAGTTGAGGTGAACAAAGCCAGGGCTTCTGAAAAGGGGCCAAGATTTTCCAGCTCATAGGGAGATGGCTATAGAGCCAAACATGGAGCCCAAATGTGTGACTCCCATTCAAAGCTTTGGCTCTAATGCTCTGTGTGGAATGATCAGATGTGGAAGGTAAAGAAAGACTGGCAAAGTTCTACAGGTCTAGCTAAGCAGGAGGAGGAGCAGGTTCCTGCCCTCAGAGAGCTCACATTCAGTAGGGGGCAGGTACAGACAGGCAGCAAAATAAACACAGGAGATATTTTGGGCAGAGAAAGCACCTATGTGTGCAGACACTGAACTACAAACTGTAGGTAGAGAGGTAATAGCGATGACCTTACCCCAACAGAGATTATCATCTACTGAGGAATCCATAATCCTTCTTATAAAAAATTAAATATCCCCAGGACTCCAGATGCTGACTTCTCAAACCACAAAGGCAGGCATGTGAAAACATAACTTTATTTTTTCTTACTTGAACTTAATTTCTATCTTAAACTCCATCCACCAGTGGCATGAATATAACTTTAGAGTTCAGGTTAAGCCCAGTCAATTCAGGGACCCCTCCCTGCCCTTTCTCCTCAGAGTAGCATCTAAATTCAGGGAGGAGGGTTTGTATTGGGTCAAGCAAAGGAGGAGGGAGGGGAGGGATTCTTGGTGTCATCTGTCCAGCTGACAACTTCTATGGCAACCTCATTCTCTCTAGTCACGAATCATTGGCATTGATTTCTGCTGGCATTGATGAGACATCCTCAGGGGCATCTGGTCTGCCAGCAAAGTTCAACAAAGTCAATGTGATGCCTTCTCATCCCAGCCTCTAGGACTCTTCAGTCAGTAGCCATCTCCATCTCTGTCTCCATCCCTCTTTCCGTGGGGTTGCTAGATTTAGCAGATAAGAATACAGGACACCCTGTGTTTTATCTGGCAACTTAATCTTTCAGGAACTCCAGAGGTTTGGGGGATTCTTTTCCAGTGCTCTGGGACTTCACAAACGAATCCCTGTGGGGCATTCTCAGATCTGCTCTGCCTGTACTCACCCTGCACCACATCTTCCCTCCGACCACTGCACCATTCATGGAGGGGGTACTAGGGCTTTGCTGCTTCCCTAGGCCCAGCAAAGCAGTGGGACTCAGACTTCTCTGGTGGCTGCATCATCCCCCACCCCACCACCACCTGCAGTAGTATTTACCAGCTGCTCAGGGTGGGGAGGGAAGACAAGGAACACACTCACTTCACAGTTCCACACTAGTATCAAACTCTGTGTTTCTCCCTCAGATTCTCCCAAGCTAGTGCCCAGTGAAAATATTTTTTCTTGTCTAGAGCAAGAAAATGGGCCCTTTTGATCATCTTCTGAGTCCTATTTATCTTATATATTCACCTCAACTTTTTAAAAGATGAAAATTGACTCTCCATTTTCTTTGCATTTTTGGCTAAACTAACAGGGGAGTAGAAAAATATTGAGGAAAAAACAGATTAATAATTCAAAAGTTTATTGAGATATCTGCATCCAAATGGGCTAAGGTAACTGGTGGTTTCTATGCAGAACAGCTACAATGGTTGACAAAACACATAACTAACCTGTATTAAACCAAATCCTCCAAGAAGCAGACATCAAGAGATGACAGAACTTCAGTGACTTTACTGGGGAAAATGCCTTGTGAAAGAAAACAGAGGGAGCTTGAAAAAGGCAGCTGTAAAAGGAAGAGTCATCAGAGCATGATGCAAGAGTCTAATGGCAAGTGAAGGAAAATGGGAAAGGAGAGATGTCCTAGGCTGTGGTGCAGCCTAAGGAAGTCCAGGTAAAACCTTCAGGGAGGCCCCAAATCTAAGTCAGCTGGTGGAAGTCCTGTGTCTCCCAGGACCAGGTTGGCCTTATAGACTTCGGACCCACAGTCACAGGCTAAGAGAAACCCACTGAAGGTGTGGTCTCAGCACAAAGGCAGTGATTGATTTCAGAGCTCAGCAACTGGGGATCTTGATCAATTATGCTCCCAATAATTGGATGTTTGTGAGGTTCACTCTCATGCCCATCATATCACCTATTTGGAAGCAGTAGAGAGTTTCTAAGGCAATGAGAATTAGAAGGCTAAGATTCCAGGAAAGAAAGAACTTTAGAGAGATAAGCTGGCTGACACTGGCTGCTGTTACTCTGGAGGCTTTTCCAATTCTGGGTACAGAAAGGAGGCTAATAATCGTATGTAAAGTTAAGTGAAAAACTAGATAAAGGCCACTGCAGTAGTACATAAAATCCAGCCCAGAGTTCTGGTGGACATTTGGGAGTACTCAAGAAAATGGGCCTGTTTCCTCTCAACAGTGGCTGAATTCTGGGGCTACACAGAATGTAAGCTAAAAAGTATAGGTGGGAACTTGAAAAACACAGTCTCATGACACAAAAGTTTGCATTCCAGGCCTTCCAAGAAAAGGGGAGTTGTAGGATATACTTGGGTCTTAGAGGAAATTTTAAAAAACTTGATGGATCAGAGATTAACCAAAGTAGACTGAGCCTTACCACAGCCTACTAGGACTACAACCCGCCATAAACTCAACACAGACACTGGTTGCATTGAAGTAATCAGATATGGCTCTATATTCCCATCAGAGGAAAGAGTTAAATCCTATGTAGAGGAGGATAAAACCATTTGGGGTATCTAAATTCAGAAATTACTAGGTACACCAAAAGAAAGAACCAAATTACTAAAAACCAAGAGAAAAACCCCTCAACAATAGAAACGTACCCACAGGATCCAGATATAAAAATTAGCTGGCAAATGGCATAAGATAATTATGATTAACATCATAGTTAATTAATAACATTAATTTTTATGAGAATAAAAATGAATAGATATGAGACAATTTTAACATAGAACCACAGTCTAAAAAATAATAATTGGATGTTCTTTAACTAATTAAGATAATCTTTAAAATTAAGAACTCATTAGTTGGATTTAACTACAGATTTAACATGGCAGAATACAGGACTGTTGACCTGCACTGGAAGATAGATTAATGGAAAATATCCCAAACTGAAGCATGGAAAGGAAAAAAGGATGGAAATTGGTGGTCTGAAAGGAGAGGGAAAAAATGAATGGACAGAAGGAATATTTCAACACATAATGGCAGAGAATTTTCTAAAACTGATGAAAGATGTCAGCAGACATATTCGAGATGTTCTACAGAAATAAAAAGAAAACCATAACAAGGTATCACAGTAACATTAATGAAAGTTAAAGATATAGAGAAAATCTTACGAGGAGGAAAACCAAATTTCCTTCAAAAGACCAACAGAAAAATTAACAATTGACTTGTCAACAGAAAACATGAATACTAGAGCCAATAGAAAGAAAAATCTTTAATGTTCTTAGGGAAAATACTGCTAACCTAGAATTTTAAACTCAAGGGGAAAATATTCTTCAGAGATAAAGGTGAAATAAATACTTTTTCATGCAAATAAAACCAGGGAAAATTAGTTGCAAAACTTCACTTAAATATTTAAAAGATTTCTTCAGGCCAAAGGAAAACTATCCCAGAGAGAAACATGGAATTGTAATGAAAAATAAGGCTCAATGGAAAATGTCAATGTACAAGTAAATATAAAAGAACTTTAATTAAAAATCAATTGTCCCTGTAATCCCAGAGCTTTGGGAGCCCAAGGCTGGTGGATCACTTGAGGCCGGGAGTTCAAGACTAGCCTGGCCAACATTGGGAAACCCCATCTCTACTAAAAATGCAAAAATTAGACAGGCGTAGTAGTGCATGCCTGTAATTCCAGCTATTCAGGAGGCTGAGGCACAAGAACTGCTTAGATCTGGGAGGCAGAGTTTGATGTAAGCTGAGATTGCACCACTGCAATCCAGCCTGAGTGATGAAGTGAGTGACACTCTATCTTAAAAAAGCGAGAAAATGGATTTGTACAAAACAATCATAGTAATGTCATGTGGTTTTTAAAATATGCATACAATAAATATATTTGTAGTTTTGCATGACCACCCTAATGCAAAAGATGCAGGAAGTAAGTGGAATTAAAATGGTCTAAGGTTCTAGTACTATTAAAGAAATGATGAAAGTAATCATTCATTTTAGACTGGAATAAGACAATATTCATGTTGTAATCTCTAGGGTATCTATTAAAAGAATAATAAAAGAATGTTCAATTAACAAGTTATGAGAAGAAAAATAAAATGATAAAAAGTATTTTATCACTCTAAAAGAATCCAAAAATGTGAGAAAAAGAAACAGAATAGGTGGGTTATGTTTATGTTATTTTCAACATAAGATGATAGAAACCCAAATATATCCATAATTAAATTCAATGTAAATGAATGAAGTGTTTCAATCAAAAGACCAGAATTGCCAAATTGAATTTTTAAAAATAACTTTATGCCGCTTACATGAGTCACACGCAAAATCTAAGCACACAGGAGATTGAAAGAAAAACGTTGAGAAAAGATAAGTCAGGCAAACAATAACCAGAAGAAAGTTAGTGCTATGGTCTGAATGTTTGCGGAGACTGTTTGCCCCCACGTGAGGACACACAAAAAAAGATGCCATCTTTGAAACAGAAGGGAAGCCTTCACCAGACACCAAATATGCTCGGGTCTTGGTCTTGGATTTCCCAGAATCCTGAAGTGTGAGCAATTAATTTCTGTTGATTACCCAGTTTAAGGTATTATGCACAGCAGCCCAAATGAACTAAGACAGGTGATGTACTTATACTAATATCAACGTAGACTTTAAGGCATGAAGTCTGCAGATAAAGAGGAACATTTCATAATGATGTAATTATCATAGTTCTAAAGATATATAACATACCTTCAAACATATAAAGCTTATAAAGCAAAAAATTTACAAAACTAAAGAGAAGTAGGTAAATACAAAATTATAGTGTGAGATTTTAACACAATTCTCTCAAGAGTTTACAGAAGAACAAAAAAAGACCAACAAATGCACTGTAAATATATAAGATGTGACTAACAAAGTAAACCAATTTGGCCTAATTGAAATATATGAAATACGATCCTCAACAATTTCAGATACAGGGCTTTTAAAAATTCAAACATAGAAGAAATATTTACCAAAAGGGACCATATTTTAGGTTATAAAGCAAGCCTTATCACAACTCAAAATATTGAAATCAGAATAAAGAACCCGTGAGTCACAAGAGAAATTGCAAATAAAATGAAATATTTTAAACTAAATGATGATACAGATCCAACAGATAAAATCTTGTGGGATGAAGCTAAAACAATAGTTGGAGGGAAATTTATAGACCACTTCATATATGAGAAAGACAAATTAATAAAAATAAATAAGATGTCAACTAAAAAATCTAGAAAAATAAGCCCAGCAAGTCAAACCACAAAGAAAAAAACAATGCACAAGAGAAAAATTCAAGGTACTTGAAAATAAATGTTTTAAAAAGTTAATATAGCCAATAATGGTTTCCTTGAAATAACATATCAGAAAGGAGAGAAAACCAAAATTATAAATGTCAGATTAAAATGTTATAAAAGATAAAATATCATGAACATGCTATACAAATAAATTTTATTATTTAAAGTTGGAAAACTCTTTGAAATACACAACTTACCTAATATTTCACAAGAAGAAATAATAAATCTGAATACTTGTGTATTAAAGAAATTCAATCCATTAACATTTTCCCCAAAAAAGAAACCCCAGGCCCAGATGGCTTCACTGCTGAATGTTTTCAAATATTCAGGAAGTAAGAAATACAAATCTTTCACAAAATCTTCCAAAAAATAGGAAAAGAGGTAAAACTTTCGAAATTGTTCATTGAGGCCAGCATTACCTTTGTGCCAAAACCTGACAAAGATATTACGGGAAATGAAAATTTCAGCACCAATCTCTTTCATACATTTAAATTCCAAAATCTTAAACAAAATATTAGCTAAGAGTATCTCAGACTCGTGCGTGAGGCGAGCGGAGCCGGAGACGAGACCAGAGGCCGAACTCGGGTTCTGACAAGAGGCCGGGCTGCCCCGCAGGATCATCAAGGAAACCCAGCGTTTGCTGGCAGAACCAGTTCCTGGCATCAAAGCAGAACCAGATGAGAGCAACGCCCGTTATTTTCATGTGGTCATTGCTGGCCCTCAGGATTCCCCCTTTGAGGGAGGGACTTTTAAACTTGAACTATTCCTTCCAGAAAAATACCCAATGGCAGCCCCTAAAGTACGTTTCATGACCAAAATTTATCATCCTAATGTAGACAAGATGGGAAGAATATGTTTAGATATTTTGAAAGATAAGTGGTCCCCAGCACTGCAGATCCGCACAGTTCTGCTATCGATCCAGGCCTTGTTAAGTGCTCCTAATCCAGATGATCCACTAGCAAATGATGTAGCGGAGCAGTGGAAGACCAACGAAGCCCAAGCCATAGAAACAGCTAGAGCATGGACTAGGCTATATGCCATGAATAATATTTAAACTGATCCGATCATCAAGTGTGCATCACTTCTCCTGTTCTGCCAAGACTTCTTCCTTTTTGTTTGCATTTAATGGACGCAGTCTTAGAAACATTACAGAATAAAAAAGCCCAGACATCTTCAGTCCTTTGGTGATTAAATGCACATTCGCAAATCTATGTCTTGTCCTGATTCACTGTTGTAAAGCATGAGCAGAGGCTAGAAGTATCATCCGGATTGTTGTGAAAGGTTTAAAAGCAGCGGCCCCTTCCTGCTTTTACTCATTTCCCCCATCCTGGTTTAAGTATAAAGCACTGTGAATGAAGGTAGTTGTCAGGTTAGCTGCAGGGGTGTGGGTGTTTTTCTTTATTTTTTTTGAGGGGGGAGGTAGTTTTATTTTAATTTTATGGGCTCCTTTCCCCCTTTTACAGTGATCTAATTGCATTGGTTAAAAGCAGCTAACCAGTTATTTAGGGAATGCTCTCTAGCCAAGTCTAACTTTATTTAGACGCTGTAGATGGACGAACTTGATTGTTTGAACCAAAATGGGAACATTAAAAACACATCACAGGACTCACTAATAACATTGTGACTTTGCTGTCAAGTGTAGATTCCCCCCTTCAAAAAAAGCTTGTGACCATTTTGTATGGCTTGTCTGGAAACTTCTGTAAATCTTATGTTTTAGTAAAATATTTTTTGTTATTCTAAAAAAAAAAAAAAAAAGAGTATCTCAAACATATAAAAATGGTAATATTTCATAGGACTACATAAAGTTTATTCATGGATGCTAGGTTGAATTAACATTAAATAACAATGTAGTTCATCACTACAGAATAAAGGAGAAAAATCACATGATATCCCAAAAGAGGCAGAGAAAAGTATCTGATAAAATTTGGTGCACATGCGCGAGTGCACGCCCGCACAAACACACACACACACACACACACACACATATACACACACCACATTATCCCATTTACATAACATTCTCTAAAATATAAAAACTAGGTTTTTGAAGAACAGACCAGCAGTTTCCAGAGTTTAGGAGTTGGGATGAGTATGACTGTAAAAAGATAACATGAAGGAGTCTTTGAGGTGTTGATACTGTTTTGTATGTTTATTGCAAAAGTAGTTTTTATATTAATCTATGAATGTTGAAGTCCATAATTCTGTATACCAAAAGAAAAAGTCAATTTTACTGATTATAATGTTTTAATTTTTGAAAATTTTAATAGATAAATTGTCTGGTATGTGAATCATATCTCAAGCTGTGTTTAAGAGCTTTTGAAAATTCAACACTCATTTATGAAAAATATTATTAGTAAACTAGTAACATGAGGTATGCTCTTAGTCTTATAAAGATTCCCTACAAAATCCACAACAAAAACATCATATTTAACGATGAATTATTAAAATTTCTTCCTTGAGATTAGAAACAAGATACAGGTGTCTATTATTGTTATTTTATTAACTTTGTACCAGAATTTTTGGCCGGTAAAATAAGTCAGAAAAAAAAACTAAATGAGAATTAGAAATGAAAAAGTACATATATCGGGAATATACAAATGAATCAGCACAAGCTATTAGAATGAATGGACTTCACTATATAGTTAGATATGAAGTACACACACAAAAATCAATTGCATTTCCATGTATGAGAAAAAAAGTGATAGAAAGTTGGATTTTTAATACTACCATTTATGAGGACATCACAAGATTTGAATGCTAAGAATATTTTAAAACTATCAAAAAATCTACACTAAAATTCCAAAATCATACTTAGATACATTAAATAAGAACTAAAAATATGGAGAGACATATCAACTTCATAAGGTAGAAATCTCAATATTTTAAAGATATCAATTGTTCTATAATGACATATATTTAAGATAGTCTCAATCAAAATTTCAATAGAGTTTTTGTGAACACTGATAAGCTGAATCTAAAATATATATGGAAATGCAAAGGGCCAAGAATAACCAAAGTAAATTCTAAAGGAGAAGAACTAAGTTTGGGAACTTATGTTCCCTGATACTAAATCATATTATAAAATTATATTAATTAAGATAGTACTGTATGGTCACAAAGATAGATAAATAGATCAATGAAAAAGAACATAATTCAGAACAAGATCCACATATATAAAGAGGCCTAATTTGTTACACTATTATGCAATGAGAAAAGAAAGAGCTTTTCAGTAAATGGTGTGGGGTCAACTGGATATGTATATGCCAAAAAAGGTGATATCGATTTTAAAGATAAAGCTTCCAGAAGAAAACATACAATATTTTTATGATTCGGAGGTAGAAAAAATATATTTTAAAATTATACACAAAGTCCTAAAAATCAATGAGAAGACTGATTCATTTGGGCTGCACTAAAATTTAAAACTTCTGCTAAATCAATAGACACTATTAAAAGAACGAAAAAGCAAACTACAGAGTGGGAGAGGATATATGCAATCCACATATCTGTGGGAGGACTTATTTCCAGATTATACAAAGAATATCTGCAAATCAATAAGAAGAAAAAACCCAATTGAAAAATGGGCAAACGCCTTGAACAGGCACCTCACAAAAAAGATATTCAAATGGCTAAGAAGCATATGAAATGTGCTCAATTTCACCAGTCAATTGAGAAAGGCAAATTAACACCACAATAGTATACCAATACCCATCCAATGAAACAGCTAAAATAAAAAAGACAACATGATAAATGTAGATCAACTGGAACACTCATACACTGCTCATGGGAAATAAACTGTTACCATCAACTTGGAAAAGTGTTTGGCTCTGTCTTTTAAACCTGAACATAGACAACTGTTATATTGTATGATTGCCAATTTTATTCCAAATTAAATATTCAGAAGAGATGCCTACATATTTTTTACTAAAGATAGATACTATTCATGGCGGCACTTTTCATAATGACCCCAAAAGTTTAACAATCCAAATATCCACCTATAATATAACAGATAAATTGATACATACATACAATGTAATCTGTTGCCACATTAAAAGTGAATAATCTACAGCTAAATAGAACAACATGCATGAATCTTGCAAAAGTAATGTTGGGTAAAGGAAAAAACAAGAATATTGCTGTGGTCTGAGTTTGTTCCCCCAAAATTCACATGTTAGAAAGTAAATCCCCAAAGCAAGAGTACTGAGAGGTTGGACCTAATGGGAGTTGTTTAGGTCATGGAGACTCTACCCTTGTGAATGGATTAATGCTGCCATAAAAAGGGCTTGTGGAAGTGGGCTGCACTCTCTATCTTCTGCTCTTCTGCCATATGAAAACAGCCTCCCTGGAGGATGAAGCAATGAGGTTCCATCTTGGAACCAGAGACTGAATCTGCTGGCACACTGATCTTGGACTTCCCATACTGCAGAACCATGAGAGAATACATTTGTGTTCTGTATAAATTACCCAGTCTCAGGTATTCTGATACAGTAGCATAAAATGGACCCAGACAAATACTGTGGTGGTTTCAGGTCCATATAATTATTTGGCATACCCTTCAAAAAGTAGGACCTAAGTCCTCTGCTTAAGTATGAGCTGGACTAACAAACAGAAGGAAAGTGCAAGTGACAGTTCAACACATTGGAGACTGGATCACAAAAGACACTGAAAATCCCTCTTCTCACTCTCTTGAATTGTTTATGCTGAGATCAGCCAGCTGCCATGTTACCAGCCGTCTTATGTGCACATAACAAGAAACTGAGGCCTCCAGCCAACAGCCATATAAGCTAAGCTTTTCAGAGTATTTCTTCCAGCCCCAGGTAAGCCTTCAGATGACTCCAGTTCTGGTGGACATCTTGACCTTATGGACCCCAAGCCAGGACTGTCCAGCTAAGCTGCTCCTGAATTCCTGACCCTCAAAAACTGTGAGATAGTTAATGTCATATTAAACTACCAGGTTTGGGGGAGTAATTTGTCACACAGCAACAGATAATTAATATGATACATACTACATTATTGCATCTATAAATTCCCAAAACAGGCAAAACAAATCAATGGCCCATGAAGTCAGGACGATGGTTATAATTGTGAATAAGCAGTGATGGGATGGGGACGTGAAAAACCAGCTCCAAAGACGGCCATCATCACTCTCCCATTTCCTGTACACACACAGTGCCCCCTTCCTTGGGCTGGCTTTGTGACTTGCTCCGACTGGATACTGCATCAGAAAGGATACTGTGCCAATCCTGAGCCTGCCAGAGGCCTAGAAGCTTCCACTTTTTTAATCTATGGAAAAGATAGCTGTCATACTGTTATGAAGCTAGTGCATTGAATAATGAGGACCTGCAAGTAGAAAAGGAGGCCACATAGAGAAGTACTGAGGCACCAGACATCTGCACAAAGCCTTCTCTGGTGTATATAGCAGTGGAGATTAGCTGCTAACTGAATGCAGCTGGTTGATTTACCCAAACAATGCTAGATACAGCAGCAGAACGGATCGACTGAGACCCGACCACATTCTTGACCCACAGAAGAGTAAGTATAAATAAATTGTGTTTGTTTTAAGCCACAGAGTTTTGAGGTGGTTTGTTATGCAGCAATAGATAAGTAAAACAGGACCTAATGGGGTTTACAGGGTTCAGGTTTAGAGTGGTTTTCCACTTCTTAGTCATGTGTTCATCTTATGAAAATACACAGATCTGTACACTGTATCCACTGATGCACTTTTCTGTATGTTAAACTTCAGTTAAAAAAACCTCCAAAAACTATCAATCTGCTTATTTATTTACCCATTCATTTATTCATTCATTCACTTAGTATCCTGGCACTCAGATGTTCAAAGTCCTGCGAAGAAGTATTTCAAAATATAGACAGTAGAAAGAGGGCAAGAAGGAAGTGAAATTTACAATAAATCATAAAGGTTAAACATGAGTTTGTTAGGTGAAGGGGAGAATGGAACATTCTGCATGGAGCCCTGTACAAGAGCATCTTGTACAAGAGCCCTGAGGTAGAACAGATTTCATTCTATTCAAGACATCAGGAAAGGTCCACATGAATAGATAGGGCAGAAAGGTGAACACCAGAGTGACCAACCATCCCAGTTTGCCCAGGATTGTCCCAGTTTTAGCAGAGAAAGTCCCATGTCCCAGGAAACCCCTCAGTTTCCAGCAAACAAGGGCAATTGGTCTCCCTAGAGGCTGGAGATGCTGACAGGGCCATAACAGCAAAGGCTGAACATGCTGTGTCTTCTAGACTATAGAGAGGACGTTGGTCTTTATTCTAGGAGCTGAGGATTTAAGCAGACAATGGGATGGTGGTATTATTTCTCCCTTCAAAGAACTCATTTGGATGACTGCTTGGTTGGTTTTATTGATTATATGTGAACTTGATACTCTCCTATCCACCCCTCAGTTAATTGGTGAAAACGCACACTGATATCACAGACATATCTCTGGCCATAGTTGCTGCCTGTAACATCAATAATAT